ACGGCACCACGGGTCTTTCCACCCATCGACGAGAGCCATGGGACCCTGCCCAGGCCGTGGTCTTTTCCCCGGTCCACACCGAGGGTTCGGCCCGCTGGCGAGAGTTTCATCTCACCGCCGTCCCCAACTCGGCTTGAGTCTTGCAAGGACTATGTCCTGCCTGTTTTGAGTGCCTTGCCCTGTTGATCATGGTCCACCCTGAGGGTCTGGACTGGTGTCTTGTTTCCCTGCATGCTCACATTTCCCGTTGAAATTGGCATGGTCTCGTCATTGACCAGGTGTTTTGATGTTTCCTATGCTGGCATCTACTCTTTGTACTGTACCCCCCTTGACTTACGGGGCGAGATGCTTTTCATGTTTAGCCATCCACTCGAGCCGATTATCCACTAGCGGGGGCTGTGCCCCCATTTGTGACAATAATTTTTGACCTTTTTTTTTTCGAGAGAGAGAGAGTAAACGGGTCTTGTACCCGCGCAATCGATAAATGCCGACTCAACCTTTCTTGGTCCCTGGCCGCCGGACTTTGGTGCAAAAGTGTGGGCGGCCATGCTTGCAAAGACTGCTTGCTTTCCCGTGATTATCTTAGTCTGGCACCGCTCTTGCATGGCGGACAGCCCCCATGATACATTGCCCTCACAAAGCATCTCCTTGAGCCCTCACAGAGTATCTCCTTGAGCCGTGCTAGAGATACACCCCTACGGACAGATCACCGCGCAGCGAACGCGCGTTTCCCATCCTCCCCCCTCTCCTCCCTAAGGACGGGCGGCTACGCGCCCAGCGACGAGCAGCTCCAAAGGTGGGCGTGGCTTGGATTAATTGTAGCATATAGTACAGTTATCGTAGAATGCCATGACCATTGATGCAAGTAAGCTTGATAAGCTTGAAGGGTTACTGAAGTTGTGTTTTTACCTTGTGCAGATGGATACAACGTTGCTTTCGTTCTGTCTCTCTCTCTCTCGCTCTCTTCTCTCTCTCTGTCTCTCTCTCTCTGTCTCTCTCTCTCTCTCTCGCTCTCTTCTCTCTCTCTTCTCTCTCTCTCTGTCTCTGTCTCTCTCTCTCTCTCGCTCTCTCTCTCGCTCTCTTCTCTCTCTCTGTCTCTCTCTCTCTGTCTCTCTCTCTCTGTCTCTCTCTCTCTGTCTCTCTCTCTCTCTCTCTCACACTGTCTCTCTCTCTCTCTGTCTCTCTCTCTCTGTCTCTCTCTCTCTCTCTCTCACACTGTCTCTCTCTCTCTCTCTGTCTCTCTCTCTCTCTCTCTCTCTCTCTCTCTCTCTCTCTCTCTCTGTCTCTGTCTCTCTCTCTCTCTCTCTCTCTGTCTCTCTGTCTCTCTCTCTGTCTCCCTCTCTCTCTGTCTCTGTCTCTCCCTCTCTTGTCTCTGTCTCTCTCTCTGTCTCTCTCTGTCTCTCTCTCTGTCTCTCTCTGTCTCTCTCTCTCTTTCTCTCTGTCTCTCTCTCTCTCTCTCCTCTCTCTCTCTCTCTCTCTTCTCTCTCTCTGTTTCTCTCTCTCTCTATTCATTTCTCTCTCTCTCTCTGTCTCTCTCTTCTTTTATATTTTTTTGTTGTTGTTCAGTGTGTGTGACCGACAGCGCGATCAAGAAACGGCAGCGGCACCGGGAGTACCACCGGCGCTTTCGGCGTCAGAAAGCAGACTTGAATGCAACCGCTGATTTTCATTTGACAAAGCCTGCATTTCACAAGGCGTGGGCGCTCCGTGTACAGAAACCAACGCCATGAGTGAGGTGGCAACGGCGTTGTACGACTTTGAAGGCGACACCGTGCATGGTGAGCTGAGCTTCACTGCCGGTACCCAGATTACCATCACCAACAAGGTGCGGCCTGTGACGCCCGTGCCTGCTAGGCATGCTCTTTGCCGCCCCCCTTGGTTCTGAAGAGTCTTGAAGAAGTATTGGCCTTCTTTCTCGATGCCGATTGCTGCTCTTGATTGCTCTTCGCTCACCAAGATTCCTGGTCCTCTTTCTTTTTTTTTTTCTCTCGCTCTCTCTCTCTCTCTCTTCCCATCCCTGGGCTTTGCACCCCCCTCCCCTCCTAATGCTTTCCCATCTTCTAGAACATTGGAGATGGTTGGTGGGAAGGCGAATGCCAGGGCAGCCGTGGCCTCTTCCCGGAATCCTATGTGGAAGTGGGTGCCCAAGGAGCCTATGACAGTGGTTCAGACTTTGACGACGATGACGATGATTGGGACGACGATGTATGCGCGCGCCCTGCCGATACTTCACCCTGCTCCGTTGCCTCGTTTGATACGTGTTTTTTTTTTTTTTTTCTTGTTTTTCTGGTCAAGCAGTGCAGATGGACCACCACGCTCCCCCCGGTCTTGTGGCAATCCCTCATCAGCGCCCGCACTGCTCGAATGCCGTTCCGCAGATGCCCGCCCCCCCACCAGATGCTCATGACATGGGCGGGTATTCGGCCCATGCGCCAGACCAGGGTACCGCGGGCACGGACCACTTTGGACGCTCAGCCACGTTGAAGCGCAGCGTGAATCGCTTTTCCACCTTTGTGAAGGCGGGTGCCGAAGCCTTCCTGCTGGGTGCCACCAAAGACATTTCCATTGATCCCATGCTCGTGATCCACGTCGAGGTAAATGCCTTTGGTTTCACATCTGACACCCGCGCATCCTCCTTCCACGATCAGCTGGTCATGCCTGCTCACTTGAGCTGAGCCCTGGTCTACAGGAGGGTCAAGATGGCCCGCGATGGCAGCTTCGCCAGCAGCCGTACGGTCACATTACGATTGAACATTGCGGAGCTCGCAGCAAGTATAAGGGTCTCAAGTCCTATGAAGCCTTCTTAATCAAGGGCGCGGTAGGATGGACACCCATGCTTTTTGGCCACCTTCTCTTCCCTTTCTCCGTCGCTTCCATTTCCCCATGCCTTGGCAGGCTTGTCTTCGCGCCTGGGCCACTGCTGACCTTTGGAAATGGTGACGGTGAAATGCCCTTCTAATAGGTGCCCGGAACCGAAGCCGAGCGACGACACAAGCACTTTCAGTGGCTCCACGATCGCCTCGTGGACAAGTACTCTTGCCTCTGCGTGCCCCCCATGCCGGGCAAGGAATATGAATCCAAATTCAGTGCGTCCCGACATCCAGGCTGCCCGTTGCAGCCCTGACACGCGCCACCTTCACCCTGCTTCTCATGTCAACACACGGCCTGCGTGCGTGCTTGTTCATACAGACGAGAATCACGTGAAGAAGCGCGAGGAGCGTCTCGAAGCCTGGATCAACCGCGTGGCCCGTCATCCGGTGCTGGGCGCCGACGTGCTAGCCCTGAAACACTTTCTCACTTGTTCGACCGGCGATGCAACGGTGCGTTTCAGAAAAGCCCCAACAAGACACCCCTGGAAGAGGACATGCGTGTGTGCACGCTCACCCGCGAATGCACCTTTGGGTTGGCCCATCCCTGCAGCGGTGGAAGCAAGGGAAACGCGATGCAGAAAAGGACCGCTTTCTTGGCGCCATGTTCTTCAAGCTCATCTCCCAGGACGTGCGGTGCCCCACCGACTCGTAAGCCCTCCACCCAGGCCTGGCCGTTGGGCATGTAGCATGTAGATTGTCCTGGTGCCTTACTTTGCGCGATCATTCTTGTTGTTGTTGTTTTACAGGGATAAGCGCATCGATCAATTTGCCGACTTTGTGACTGAAATGCTCAAGACGGCCAAGCGAAACATTGACATTGCCAAGGCACACTCGGATCGCATGGCATCATCCTTCAAGCGCGAGTATACCAAGATTGGTTCTGGATTTGAACTCTTGGGTCAAAACTTTGGCAACGGTGGAGGTCAAACGAATGGCGGTAGGTTGCCCGACCCCAGCCACCATTGCACGGTTTCTGAGCAAGGGCAACCTTGGGCGTGGTTCGATCCATGGTCCCTGTTCATGTCCCAGAACTTCCTCATTGTGCCGCGCGTGTTTACAGATAGCGTCCGGTTATCGCAAGCCTTTATCATTGCCGCAGACCACATGAATGGAATTGGTGGTAGGTTGACGCTGGTGGCTCTTCTTTGAGTTTTTTTTTTTTTTTTTTTTTTTGTTTTTTTTGTTTTTTTTTTTTTTTTGTTGCCTGCTCTTGCCCTCAAACAAGTATACCGAGAATGGAAGCACAGCTTCATGTTGCTCATCCATCTTTGTCTATGATGGCATTGCAGAATTGTGTGCTGAGCAGCCAGTTTTTGACCAGATTCCCTGGATGGAGGGCCTCAAGGAATACATGGGCCTACTATCCCAATTTCAAGGATGCATCACCTCAAGCCGTTCTGCCGCTGCCCGCGTGATTGAAGTGGAGGATGTGAGTTTTGCGTCTTCCCCGTTTGACTGCAGGACAAGAGCTGAAAACCAGTGGGCGAGGAGCGCGTGTACACATGGTGGTCTGATTCGGTTTTCTTGGTCGTAGCGTGAGGATGCGGATAGCACAGAAAAGGAAGCCGTCAGCAGCCGCTGTGACATTATCCACACTTTGACCCTGTGCGAGATGACGCATTTCCACGAGCAGCGGCGCAAGGACTTTCGCGACATGATGATCAATTATCTCGACGCGCAAATTGACTTTCACAACAAGGTACGCTGGAAACACTAGCAATGCCGCTGCACCGCAGAGCAATGTCACTCACTTGGCTGGGCTGCGCGGGACTACGATTGGTTGTTTGGCAGATTGTGGGCAAGCTTCAGGCCGCTAAGGACCAGTTTACCCAGCTCAACTTTTAAGTAGCTGGCTGTGCGTCATTCCAGGCTTTTTTTTTTTTTTCGGGTCACCACTTTTTGTGCACCTTTGCTTTGCATGTGAATTGGCACAGCTGGTCTTGTGTCCGCCTCTGCACGCCGTGCTGGTTGCGTTTGCTTCTTCTCTTTTCTTTTCTCTTGTTCCCATCCACAGGTGTGCTCCACCGTATGCTTTTCCCTTACCTTGTCTTTGTGTTTTTGCAAAAGTATAAATCCACTCCAAGCTTTACGAGCAGAGCCCGCTGTTTGCCCTTTTTACCATCACAGGGCCACCCCACCCACCATCGTCCAGCCTGAAACACGCGCACACCAACGAACTTTCTCTCTCTCAAACTCTCTCTCTCTCTACTGTCTCTCTCTCTCAAACTCTCAAACTCTCAAACTCTCTCTCTCTAATTCATGTCTCTCTCTCTCTCTCTCTCTCACTTTCCACTCACAGAACAGAGGGAGATGGCGGCTTTGCGGTTGTGGGGACGAGCCGGCGCTACTGTCGTGGGATCGGGGCGCTTGGTGGTGGGGTCATGTGTTGTGAGGGCGGGCGGTTTGGGGCAGTGTGGATTGGCGTCGTTGGTGACCGGTCATCATCGGCATGAGCGAGGCGCGGGTAGATGGGCAGCTGCCGTTGCCGCTGTGGCGGGAGGGGTGGCCTTGAGCCTGAGCCTTGTTGGTGGCCACTCTCGCGCCGAGGCTGAGGCTGGGGCTCGTGACGCAGGCGCTGACGGTGAGGATGATGATGATGAAATGCACGAGATGGAGATTGTCAATTGGTCTGGCACGCATCGCGCGGTCACGCGCAACTTTTTCCAACCCGTAACGGTGGCTGAAGTCGAGGCCATTGTGCGTCGCGCGCACGAGACTGGCCAACGTTTGCGCGTGGTCGGCTCTAGCCTTTCACCCAATGGCCTTGGTTTGTCCAACGACGGCATGCTTTCGCTGGCCAATCTGGACGAGGTGCTCGAGGTGGACGCTCAACAGCGGCGCGTACGAGTTCAGGCCGGGGCTCGAGTTGACACGGTCGTGGAAGCCCTCCGCCCGCACGGGCTGACCCTCCAGAACTACGCCTCGATTCGCGAGCAGCAAATTGGCGGTTTTACTCAGGTTGGCGCCCATGGCACAGGCGCGCGGTTGCCGCCAGTTGACGCCCAGGTCGTGGCGTTGACGCTTGTGACCCCCAACTGCGGCACGCTCCAGCTCAGCTCCGACGATGCCGACCCGGCCCTTTTCCTGGCTGCACGGTTGGGTCTGGGCGCATTGGGTGTGGTGACCGATGTGACATTGCAGTGTGTCCCAGCCCATGAGCTTACGCAAGAGCTACGTGTCATCACGCGTGCTGAAGCAGTAGCCGGGCACGCTGAGCGGCTGCGCCAGTGGCCCCACGTTCGTTACATGTGGCTACCTTACGTCGATGCCGTAGTGGTCGCTGCTGCTCGCCAGACCGTGGTCGGAGATGCAGTGACGGTGTCTCCCAAGCAGACCCAGCATGCGCTCGAGCCCCTTCGGCAATTGCTCCGTGAGTTGGCCCCGCATTTGGATGCAGGCAGCGTTGCTCAGCTCGGTTTTGCCGAGCTTCGTGACCGCATTTTGGCCCATGCGCCCTTGGATAGCGCGCACGTTCGCCGTTGTAACCATGCCGAAGCAGAATTTTGGCGCCGTTCACAGGGAGTCACCGACATTGGAGCGAGTGATCGCATCTTAGGCTTTGAGTGTGGGGGCCAGCAGTGGGTCAACGAAGTGTGCCTGCCTGCCGGTACACTCGACCAGCCCACGGGCCATGACCTTGCTTTTGTCGAGCGCATTTTGGCCCTCATTGAGGACCATAACGTGGCCGCCCCATGCCCTATCGAGCAGCGCTGGACCAGCGCTTCTGCATCCACCCTCAGCCACGCCCATGGCGATGAAAATGGCCCTGCCTTGGCTTCCTGGGTGGGCATCATCATGTACCTTTGCCGTGAGGACCAACGGCCGGCCATCACGGCGGCCTTTCACGCCTATCGAGCGCTTGTCGAGGCCAGCTTGGACGACGAATTTGACGCCTTTGTGCACTGGGCAAAATTGGAAATTCCATCAGAAGCGGCTGCGCTTGCTCGTCTTCGTGCCCGCCTTCGCGCGCGCTTTGACGTCGATGCCTTTAATCGTGCGCGGCACAAGCTGGACCCTCATGGCGTCCTGAGTAACGACTTTATCCGAGCCCTCTTTGACGATGAGTAGAGCCCTGCCTACCCCGCCCCTTTTACATAGCTGACCATAATAATGATGCAATGACATAAACCAGGCGGGATTCCCAGTGGCAACACCCACCGCCTTGCCCGGAATTAATTAAGAACAGGAACATTCGACATCACACCCGGTTGTTGTTGTTGTTGTTTTTTGGCCACACACGCCACCTGCATAAATCAATTATTACATTCGGATGTTGAATCATGATTATCGTTGTCCAGATTTCCAGTACCTCTCACAATCTACGTCCACGCCCGCGTGTTCAAAGGTGATTCGGCTTGTGCATGCTTCAAGACGATCAACCCTGAGCGCCGTCGAAAAGACTGGGCTCGCCAGCCTTGTAGAATACAAACAGCTCCGGATAAATCTGCCTCTTGTCAAAAATGACCACCTCACGGAACAGGCAATCCTCCACAACAATGCTCTCATGCCTACAGCAACAACACGAGGCAGCGGTGGCGAAAGCCACTAGCATGAGAATGCGCGCTTTTCCCTGGGCCTGGGGCGAGTGTGATCGACTCACCGTCTTCGTTCGCCTGGCTCAGATTCAGCATCTCCGTCCAGCACGGGCGGCGGCTGCGTGGCGGCTTGGGGATGGTGGGCACCGGTGTAATGTTGCCCCAGGAGAACGCGTGCCAAAATCATGAGGCGCACACCATTGGCATCGGCTTGGGTATAGAGATGACTCTGCCGCGACCAGAAGGAAAAGCAGAAGAGATGAGCCTTGGCCACAACGGGGTGCCAAAGCGCCACTTGGCTCAACATCATGTTACCCATACCTTGTCTGGATGATCGGCAAAGTAGACACCGCTCCCATACTTCGACTCTGGACTAGAACGAGCTGGATCCAATCCGATGCGCGAGATTTCATCTCGCAATTTATCTGTGTTGGCCTTATCACCGCCAGCGTTGCGCAGCCCGTGGAAAAGCAGGCGTTCTTGGCAAGGCGCCTCAAGCAACAGTTCTGGCGTGTCTGGCAGGGCCGACTCACGGGACGTGAGCAATTGCGTGCAGACTTCAAACGTCCGCCGACGTGACAGCATCTCGTGCCGCCGTTCGTCGTATTGCTCCCACAACACCGGGTTCTCGACACGTAGCACCTTGACCACCTCGGCATCCTTGATCTGCGAAGACACCCCACTACTTGTGCCTGCTAGCCGCCGCATGAGGTCCTCAACCTAATCTCCACCCCATGCTCAGATGAGAACCCCAAACCACCTGTTTGATGCCTATTTGATGAATAAAACGGTTCAAAGCACGCGCAACGCGCACCTCCATGCACAGCTCCTGACTGCCCACATGCAACACGGATGCAGCTGAGAATCGAGGCAGTGCTCCAATTGGCATGTCAACCTTCAAAGCCTGTGCTCGTGCTAAGCTTAGCAACGAAGGGCGTTGATGTCGATCAGTTGACAACAACGCACGAGTTTGAGCTTGCAACTGCCCTTTCGCGTCACACATCTAGTGCATATCACAAGACAACCCAACCGGAGTCGAGAGGATGAGTATGTCAGCTGTCACCCAGTCCTACCAGAATGCGCGACAACGCTGTCGGTTGGAAAAGTTGGTGTGGACATCAATCAATAACGCCAGCCATCAACCCACCTCGGCCGCTAAGTTTGAAAATTTCAGGGCACCTGCGTCTTTGCTCGTCCAGGCACAACGATCACAGATCTCCTCGGTCAAGCTGCGCGATTCAGGCACCGCGTTTGGATACATGTACGTGTTGTACAACACGCAGCCAAAAGCGTAGGCGTCTTGCGAAGTTCGCGCACCTATGCGCCCAGAAGTATCACAGGCAATCTCTGGTGCCATGTACCCTTGCGTACCCTTTGAGGCTGTGACCTTGGACTGCTGCGTTCTGGTTGCCTCAACTTTGCTAATGTTGAAGTCGCCCAAGCGCACAGAAAAGTCGGGACCATGCAGCATGATGTTGCTGAGCTTCACGTCGCGATGAACAAGGCCCTGTGCATGCATGTAAGCCAGAGCGCTCAGGGTTTCCTGCATCATCCGCCCGATGGTCTCAACCGTCCCCCGGCGCACCTCGGTGTTCTTGAGCCAGACCCCAAGGTCACCGTGCTCACACCACGGCATCACCAAACATAGGCAATCACCATCCACGTCTTGGTCCACAAACGACGTTAGAAGAGGCATGATATGTGGATGCTTGAGGCGGCGCATCGCCCGTACTTCGCGCTCAAATCCTTTGGCACGGCTCAGGCCATCTTGTCGTGCCAAGACAAATTTTTTGATGCATACGCGATCTGAACCGTTAAGCAAAGGCACGAGGTTTTCATCGGACACCAGAGCTTTGTATACAACCTGACAATTTGCCGCTTCCCGCTGGAGACCAGCGAAGCTCTTGAGTTTGATGTTGCCATTGGTTGCTGCAAAAATGTCGCGTTCAATAACGGCATGCAGGTCCGCGCCAGCTGGATTGGCGTGCGCCTCATTTTCGTCTGCAACCGCTGCAGCAGTGGACGAGAAGATACGGTCTTCACTCTTGCCTCGAGTAAACAAGGGCATCAGCGCTGGCAAGTAGTCCTGCAAATAACAGCCCAGTTGTTGTGCCGGGTCTCGCGGACCAGCCTGATCCAACTGTCCGCCAGCCCAAGACTCGACTTCGTTTGGATCCGCTTCCACCCTGCTTGAGCGAGTCATTTCCAGCAGCTGCATGGCTCGGCGGAGGCATTTGGCTTTTTGATTCTGGAGTGCCTGATATGTGTAGTGATCAGTCAGGACGCTGCGGCAATAAGTGCGGGCAGAGCAAAGAAGCGTGGGGAAGCTTGGATGCTTGAGGATCGGGTCAAAGAGTGCACGCACAGACCCACAGTTGGGCTCGCATAGAGCTTGCAATTGGTCTAATGCACGACGCAGCGATGCCGATGCTGACGCAATGTGCTCGTGACTAGGCTCGGCCAACTCGGACTGACGCTCGTGTCTTCGGTCGAGGCTTTCGAGGTTGTGATCCATGAGCAGCGTGATGGCGGAGCGCATGGTCTTGAGCGCGTCAATGAGTGCCTGAGTGCTGCCGTTTACACAGTCCTCCGCCACTTGCATGATGCGTCGGACTTGTTGTGCGGCATGACATGCATCGGCAAGCTGGGACAGTTGGACATGCGGATCTGGAGCGATTGGTGCATGACTCTCGAGCCGAGGGCCAACGGCATAAAGCAACTGGTCGATGTCAACGTCATCAAGCACGCTGATAGGACTCAACAGCTGAGGGCACTCGTTGTATTGATACGGTACAAGGTCTGGGTGTTCGACAATGGCGAGAAGGTCGCGAAGCACGACTTCAAGGTTGTCTGTCTGTGGATCAAACGAACGCTCGAGGGCTTGAGCAAACTTGTTGGATTGGACTTGATGCCGCTCATTCAGATCCTGTATCTCGGCCATGTACTTTTGAAGATCAAGGACCATTTCTGGTGACGTGGGCTCCCAGGCGCCGTAGCAAAGTAAGGCTTGTTGCAATGCCTTATTGAGGTAGCTGAGCTGACCGTTTTGTTGGCTGACACCGGTCAGAAAAGCTGACAGGCTGGGGAATGGGTGGTTTCGAAGATCGGAGTTGGGAAGCAACTTGAGCAGCCAAGAGGTCGTTTCACGCAAGCAGCTTAATGCCTACCGCAAAGAAAGAAGCGTGAGAATGGCCCTGTGATGCAATGGATCACACTTTCACAACAACTGACGCACCTGCTCATGGGTTGTTGGCAAAATCAGAGTGTCACATCTTAGCCATGGTGTGCTGTCACTGATCTCTGACAAGTTTGCCGCCAAAAGAAGACTTGGTAAGTGTACGTTCTCAAGCGGGATCCCAACCGGCAACTCCCCACCCCCGCCCGCCAACGAAAGAAAAGTATCGGTCAACCAAACTTACTTTCAAGAAGATGATCATGCAGAAGGAAATGAAGGTATGCATCCTCAAGTATCAAAGAATGAAAGGACTCTCCATTCTGGAACACGCAGTATGCAGCAATCAAAGGCGGTATAGGTGTGTGAGCGGTACCTCAGTCCGGAATTGCACGCGGTAGCGTTGAACACAGACATGATGATAGCTGTTCATGTAGTCGGCACCCGCTTGCAGCAGCAAGATCACGATGTTGTAGTGGCGACATACACATGCGAGGCCAAAGGCCGTCAACCCGTTCTAAAGCACATGCAGATGAGTGGAAGAGGGGTGAACGGCTTGCAAGCTCATGAATAACAGACTCCCGAACCTGGTCGGGAATACCAATGTCAGCTCCGGCTTGCAAGAGGGCTTTTGTGAGGTAGGTATCGGCGGTGTTCACAGCCACGTAGAGCGGGGTGCATTTGTACTATCGACCAGAGTGCCACGAGCATGATGAGCAACTCTGTGTCTCAGAGCTTGTCCAAAACTTGCTGGGAAAAGGGGGGGGGGGTTTCTGTGGTATTGTTTCCGCGCCTGCTTCGTCACGGTATACCTGGTCGCGAAGGTTGACCTTGGCACCCTCAGCCAAAAGAAATTCGACAATGTTGGCAAAACGGTTGAAACAGGCCAAGTGCAACGCAGTGCTACCTTGCTGTCTCAACAGGGTGGCGCATGAGGGTGGTGGGTGCTGGTGTCATGGCAAACATTGCGGGCAGCATGTGCGTCCAAAGGGCTTTTACAATGATAGTCAACACGCACCTTGCTTTGCGCATTGATGTCGACCTTGAGTTTGCAAAGAAGCTTGACAATGCTTAGGTGGTTGGAATAAGTGGCAATGTGCAACAACGTCTCCCCGGTATTCTGTGTGCACCCAAGCAAGTTGCGAGGCATGTCAAGGATGGCGGACCCACGCGCGGTGTATACTCATGTGTGTTTACTCTTCGACGAGCATATCGAATGCACGCGGGCCCCTTCTTCCTTTTCCTGAGCACGGCATCAGGTCACTGTACCGGGTCGCGCCAGGCCATAGCGGCCGCTTTTTTGGGCATGGGCCAGGATATCAGCAAACGCTCAACGACCGAGGGATTGTTCACACACATGGCCGCCAGACTTTCAACCGGCGTGTGTAGGAGCGGGTCTTCCTGCTCGCTCGATGACTGTCGTCGTTTCAGCAATTGCATTTCTTCGGTCTCAAGCCGTCGCGGGGCCCCACAATCTAATGAACACCAGGCATGTGGCACATTGATGCTAACTTGAGCCCCCCCACCACGTCGTCGTGATGCACTGGAAACAGCCGAACCGTCATCATGTTCGGAGCTCTAGCCGGCGGTTTGCTTACCAAGACAGAGCTGCACGAGCTACGACTTTCGCGGCCTTGACCACTGAGACAATGACGCACAGCACCCGATGGCCCCCCGTCAGCTGAAAGTGCCAGCGACCCGGGAAGAACCCCGAGCGCGGCTCTTCTGGTCCCTGAGCGTTTGAGTCCGCTCAACCGGGATGTGTGTGTGGCACAAGTGCAGTTCAAGTGTGACAATTTGCACTTTTTCTTTACTGTTTAGCGCACACGTGTGTGAGTTCTCGGACGTATATGTGTGACTCAAAGAAACCCGTTTGGTTCTCTCATTTTCTCTCTCTGTTTCTTTTTGTTTCTGGGTTTCTCTCTCTCTGTCTCTCTGTCTCTGTCTCTCTGTGTTTCTTTCTCTGTCTCTCTGTCTCTCTCTGTCTCTCTCTCTCTGTCTCTGTCTCTCTGTCTCTGTCTCTCTCTCTCTGTCTCTGTCTCTCTCTCTGTCTCTCTCTCTGTCTCTGTCTCTCTCTCTGCCTCTGTCTCTCTCTCTCTCTCTCTGTCTCTGTCTCTGTCTCTCTCTCTCTCTCTTCGATCTCTGTCTGTGATTTTTTTTTTTTTTGGATTTTCGATGAATTATTGACAAGTTTTTTTTTCGACCCGGGTGGCTTTGGTCTTCTCTTTGATGCAGCATCTTAAAGCCCACGTGTCAACTAGCAGAAGCCGCCATGTCACCAATCAGCCAGTGATGGGAATTACCATCGTTGCATAGTTTAGAGCTGGCGTGCTCTTGTATGATAGTCAAAAGCTCCTATGGACGAGATGGGATGAGGGATGAAGCGTGCTTTAGAAAATCCCTCAGCAAGCAAGCAGCAGGGTTTTTATCTTTTTATGCGACACCCGTAACAAAACGGGAACGGGTCTTCGCCCTTGATGTCTGGTTTTGAAATCACAAATAGGAACATCTGCGGGTTCTCGATTCGACGATGAGATGGCCACACGGCTGTCGCGCATCCCAAGAATATAGCAGAGTAGTAGTAGTAGTAGTAGTAGTAGTAGTAGTAGTAGTAGTAGTAGTAGTAGTAGTAGTAGTAGTAGTAGTAGTAGTAGTAGTAGTAGTAGTAGTAGTAGTAGTAGTAGTAGTAGTAGTAGTAGTAGTAGTAGTAGTAGTAGTAGTAGTAGTAGTAGTAGTAGTAGTAGTAGTAGTAGTAGTAGTAGTAGTAGTAGTAGTAGTAGTAGTAGTAGTAGTAGTAGTAGTAGTAGTAGTAGTAGTAGTAGTAGTAGTAGTAGTAGTAGTACATGTAGTAGTAGTAGTAGTAGTAGTAGGACCTAAAGTTTTTGTTTTAAATGTCCACCTCATGTACATGTACTGTACATGTAAGTCTTTTTTCCATTAGTTAGAAATTCATTAAATTCGATGTAATTTTTACATAATTTAATTTTTAATTACATGTAATTTTTATTTTCATTTTTTTCACTGATCCGTCAGAGAGAGAGAGAGAGAGTGAGAGAGATGGCGATGATGATGATGGGGATGACGCGCCCGATCCCGACCGTGGCGCTGGCCTTGGTCCTGGTGCTGGCCTTGCTGGTGCCTGGTCTGCAGGCCCAGTGTGATACTTGCAGTGATGGTTACTCGGTCAGTTTGTAGGGGTTGTCGGGGCGGGTTGTAGGGGTTGTGGTGGCGACTCGTGTTTTACTGATCTGCCCATCTCCTCACCTCGACTGTGCCCCGCGCGTTGCACCCCTGTGCCCTTGATACTTCCGCAACCCCTTCCCCCGCTTCCCCCGGCTCTGCTCCCTCTGCAAAACAGTGCTGTGACGACACGTTCTGCTGCTCTGGCTCTGGATCAGAGGCGAGCTCCATCTGCTGTGATTCCAAGACTGCTACTTGCTGCAGGGGCACGTATGTCCATTGAACCAGTCGCCTGATCTGACGCCCCCACTGTACCACTGTCCGGCCCCCGGCTAAAGCATCACTCGGCTTTCAATGCACAGGTGCTGCGAGAAGCAGACCACTTTCTGCTGTCCCGCTGTCAATAACCACCCCGATCGCTGCTGCCCTCGCTGGACCGTCTGCTGCCCCGGTGGCCAGTGCGTGTGCCTTGCTTCAATTTCCCGCACCTGCGAAGCCTTATCCCCGTAGCGCTGGCCTGGCCTTGCTTTGCTCACCGCCCACTCCTCTGCAGAGATGGTTGCTGCACACCCGAGGAAGCCAGTGCCATCTACGGCCTTAACATGACTCGAACCAACAACGGCCTGAAGGCTGATGGCCCGGTACGGCAGATCAAACTCACCCAATTCTAATCATGGTTTTCTACCACCCTTCCACTCACCACTCGGCCTTGCTTCTTCTGCCTAGGTGCTTCATACGTTGTTTGTGGAAGTGTCTGCCCTGCGTGCGGCCACCATCGACATTGCTTCAGGCCAAGTCATTGCCAACCCTGTGGCAAGTCGATGCCGCATGCCAACCACACACTCTGCACATTCCAGTCACCCCCCCTCCCCTCCTCTTATTTGCGACTCTTGCGTTGCTCTTTTGCTGATGGTCACCCATGGACATAGGTCACCAACTTCAACAACTGGGGAGAAATGACCCGCCCCTTCACCTACAACCCGGCCAAAGCAGAGTTCTACTACTTTGAGGCCGATTACATCAACACCACCACCAACGCCACCCAACGCCCTTTGTTCATGTACACCATCGACGCGGCCTCGGGTGAAGGCAAAAAGCAGGTACGTCGTCATGGCTTGTGACGCTTTTTGATGCTCGCTTCCTCATGGTTCTTCTTTTCTTCCCGGCTGGAATCGGCGCAGGTGGTCTCAGGCGCCTACAATCTGCCCACCGCCTTTGAGTACGACTGTGCCAACGATCAGCTTTATGTCGCCACCCAGGAGCAGGCCAAGGACGGCAGCGTCAACGGCTACAACTTTTACACCGTGGATACCAACACGGCCGTCGCCTCTCATGTCTCACGAGCTGACGTACGAGCTTTGCTCACACCGACCTGCATCATCCACACGTCTCGCCAACTCATCTCATGCCTCCTCGGCTTCAATGCTTGCCATAGGCCTCCGGTGACAACGCCTGGGCCGGCTGGTTCCATGAGCTGGGATCCCGGGGGGATACGACCTACCGCCTGGGCTTTGAAGATGCCCGAACTGAACTCAACTTTGGCCTTGGCTCCACTGACATCTCCTCTGCCACAGGTGCGGCACGTCTTGCTTCGGTCTAGATCGCCTTCTTTCACGGTCCTTGTTGTGTTTATGGCATTGCTATTTTTCACACATTTTCTGTTTCGTCATCATCAATCTTTCCCTTCTACAACAGCCAACACGACCTGGGTCGACGTCAATGCCGCTCCTGAGCACGACAACTATGACACCATTACCTTGCACGATGGCCTATTCTATTCCTTGGCACAGAGCCTGACCAACAACAGCTACGATCTCATCAAGTGGACCCCGGTGGCAACCCCCAGCATTGTGACTTCCTTCACCAACGCCCATCCCGTCAAGATTTTTGGTCACGTCCTGACCCAGTGCGACTGCCACAGCGATCAATTCATCGCTGTCGTCGTGGAGGACCACTTTCCCGGCATCACCAAGGATCGGTTCGTATGCTCAAAATCTCCGTTTCCACACCTTCTTTGACCATCACACGCTCATTTTGACCGATTGCCCTCGCCTGCACAGTTGGACCTTCCACCTCGTTGACTTGACCACCGGCAAGGATCAGGTCGTCGAGACCATTCCCGAATTCCCTGCCAATGAGTTTTCCATCGCTGGACTTGGTCTGCCTGTCACCAACTAAAACTCGGCTGACTCGCCCGCATTTCAAATTGATGCTTTGCACTCAGACAGGATCGAGACAACAAACTTTCAGCTTTGAATTTGATCTCTCTCTTTTTCAAAAGCTTAGATGTGCGGTTTTCTTTTCATCGCGCCTAACCTACACCAGCAATGGTCTTTCAGCCAACGCTACAGCGCCGTTCGATCCTTCAAGTATATGCTATCACGGAGCAACTGAAATGCAAATCGCCGGAAGGCCTCCTGTTCTATTTTGCAGCACTTGTCGTAGATGGCTACTGCATCAGGACAATCACTCAAAATGGCCTGCAAGGGACCGCAGAGAAATGAGCACAGCAGACTGTGTGGCTTGCTTTAAACGCAAATAAGCGATGCAAGTCTCGGTCCAGCTTACCACAACACGCTCAGCCCAGACGCCATCTGGGCCGGGATCAGAAGTCTCGTTCAAGCGTTTGAGGTACAAATCCACGACGCTGCGGTAGAAGGACGCCTCAAACATGTTGCCTTGAGCACAGTCAGTCCAGTAGTCGACATTGCCCAGCTCCACCACCTGCGCTCAGAGCAAGGGTGCAACGTATGTGCAATGGTGAGCATCTGGCCCATTCATGTCCCGCTCGGGCTCAGCAGATCACGTCTTGCGACACTGGAGCCAGCCTTTAAAAAAAGAAAAGAAGAAAAAAAAAAAAAAAAAAGGACACTATACCTGATGAAATACGGGCCGAAGCCAAACGGTGGGGTTGTCGGCACCGTAGTACTGGGCCACAATTGATGCCTCCGGGTAGGCGCCGTGGGACACAAGAAACTGCTCCAGCTCGCTGCGACTCAGGTCGAGCACATTGGGCTGCAGTTGGGCCTGCAGACCCACGATACGTGCAAGCAGCAAACACTCGCGCACTAGCTGGGGGCAGGCCGCTTTGTCAAACTTGACGGCGGCCTCACGTAACATCTACAAGTGCACCAAGCGATGAGACAGCTCAGGGCACTCAAGTTGAAGCTTGTGCAATCCCAATCACAACGACATTCACCCATGTTTTGCCAAATGTATGCGCGTGGGTAGCAAGACAAGGGTACCTGGATGCTCAGTTCCAAGTCATCAAACTTGAGGTTGGGCTTTTGCGCGATGCGACGTGCATTCTTGAGACGAGACTGCCCAATTTCATAGTCCAGAGAGAAGCGCAGGGCCAGCATTTCAAAGGCATCTGTGTCCTCTGGGTATCGGCGCTGGAAGAAGTCTACCAACGCCGTCTTGTACTCTGCTTGCTCCGTTGCGCTCAAGTCTCGGGTTGACTAGCAAACAATGCGTGAAGGAAACATTTGTGACACCGATTGATGTTGTTGCGATCGAACAAAAGCAGCAACCACAGAGGTTTAAAGAATAAGGCAGGGAAGAAAAAAAAAAAAAAGCCAGAAAAAAAAAGAAAAGAAAAAAAAAAAAATTAAGCAAGAAAGATGCACGGCTGAAAAACTTACCGAGCCGAGCATGACTTCGAGTTGATGGTGCTTGTAAAGGTGGTCAAAGACATACTCGAGGCGACGGTATGTCTTGAGTCCCATGACCAGCTTCATCATGTTGCGATAATCGCCTGGGCCAGCAGAGCAACGGGTGAGGTCGCTTTACAGATCGAGCCGGTGGATGTGCACGGTTTGCAGGCCAAACCTTCGGCTTCTAGACGGGGTACAAGGTTGTTTTGCACATGGAAATGCACGCGCTGTAGTCCCCTCATGTCGCATCCAAGCTTAAAGCAGGCGTATGCTGCGGACATGAGAATAACCTAGGCCATTGGGCAGCGAAACAGAGCAGTCAAGTCCTTTTGAGCTCGAGGTGACTTTGTGCAATGGTTCGCTCATGCAGAGTGGGGTCGCACCTGAGACACGCTTGTTTCAAGACCGTTCTCTTTTGAGGCATTCAGACGCAGGAGGGCATGCCCAACGTCAGCGGGCGCATCGACAAAACTGCCCATGGCTGCGAGAGTGGAGGTGTCGAGATCCAACCAACGCTCATCGTTTTTGGCAATGGCTTTGATGTAAACCGTGGCCACCACGTCTGTGACTGCCATAGTTTCCAGCTTGTTCACTTGGCAAAATCGCTTGCCCAAGCCCAAAGCGTCTGGGCCTTGTTGAAGAAGGAAGCGCACGGCCCGCAGCGCCTCCGTTGACAAGAGAGCCTTGAGTGTCATGTTCAACTGCTTGGCCACTTGATAGTTGACGTGGAGACGCTCGACAAAGGCGCGACCGACACTACAGGATTCGACCAACTGCCGAAGGGTATCAGCAGTGCTGCCCGGCGTCTTTTCGTCCTGCAGCATGGGCTGCAAGCTACTCAGAGCCTGCGAGGGTGTCAAGGTTTCCTAGGTAGGCGGGGACGACAAGAAAGCAGGGTGAGGCCCACCCCGCCCCAAGAGAGTAAATGCACGCAAGTGCCCCGAATGAAAAAAAAGATCGCCAATGATCAACAGACCTGCGCCAAAAGTGAGCTGACGTGAGCAATGGCCAAGTCGGGGTGTCGCCGGTCCAGGACCTGTGCAACGTCTGTAACCGTGCGCAAGTCTCCTCGGTCAAAGAGGGCGGCCAGAAGTAGATCAATGGTGGGGTGGGCTGCAAAATCAAAATCCCAAGCCAGCAAACTGGTGTCGAGCTCGCCGGGAAGCTGCGAGATGGCTTCCGCAGTGCCCCAGCCCCGTGCAAAGTTTTCACGACCTCGCGCCATGGAAGGCGGAAGCGGAATGGCACTGGGATCTTGATGCAGGAGAGCAATTAATGACCGCCACATCAATGCGGTCGCTTGCTACAAAGCAAACAAGACAGGCACGCGATGTAAGTATGTGAGTACCGAGTGCCAGTCCCCCGCCTGCTCCGCCTGATGATGAAGCACTGGCAAACCTTGGCCTTTTCCAGAGCGTCGGGATCGCCATGCTGCTGATATAAGTCAGCAGCACGTTCCAGTAGAGAAACACGGATAGAAGCCGTAAAATTGTACTCATCGTTCGAGGCAATATCCAAATAAAAACCTGCGAGCAAACATGGGGATACGTTCTCGGCCAGGAAGTTTTTATGGCATATTTCCAGCAAGACGTTCTGGGACGTCTCGGAGTTGGCAAAGCAAGTGCGATGCATCTCCTGCAGTTTGTAGCGAGCTTCTTCCAGCATAATGTGGTCTTTGCGGAAGTCAAACAGCAGAGCAAACTCGCGTGCCGTATCGTATTGATGACGCTGCAGAAACTCAGCCACAGCTTGCTCAGGTTTGGCGATGAGAGCGCTTGAGAGCCCGTGCTGCGCAAGCAATTGCGACGCCTTGTGTTCGCGCACATAGCGATCGCTGTAGTTGATCTTTGCCAACGTCTCCAGTAGTAGCTCTCGATAAAATTCCCAAAGAGATGAGCTACAAACGGCAATTGTGCGAGTTAGAAGCAGAGAGGAAAAAAAACAGAAAAAAAAAATAAATGAAAGAAAGCCCTCCCAACTCCTACCGAAAAAGAATGCAGTCCATGAGGTCGCCAGCCAGTTGGTCAAGCCATTTGAGGGGCCCCAGTGTGATTTTGAGCTGAGCAGCAAGGTCAGGCGTCGTTTGCGTCAAAACCGCCCGGTAACCTTCAAGATTCTTGCGGCAGCCAGACGCCCGGCCTTCGCAAGCCTCAACCATGGCGACCAAGAAATGCAAAAATGGCGAGGTCGGGTCGAACACCATAAACGCACTCTGTCCAAACAAGCAAACAAACACGAGGCATGAGCAAACGAAATTAGCCAAGACAAGGCCATGAGGGAAGACCACGCACGATGTGACGATGGATGGTGACTCAACAGACCTGGACAACTTGGAGGTGCCCCTGACTGGCAGCCTGCAAGATCAACTCCTTCAAATCTTCCTTGACGTCCCGGGCGTACCAGTCGTTGCTTGCGTCGACTGGGAGGTGAACCGTCACGGCCAGCCATACCAGCATGCAGTGCACAGACAGGTTTCGGTTGTTGCCCACGCCATGAGCCATGATGGCCAACGTTGTGCTTTGCAAGCGAACTGCTTCGTGCAACAAATTCGAGCCCAGATCCTCGCCAGGCGGAAAGTTTGCGAGAACTTCAGCCAAATCCATGTCATGTCCCTTCGTGATGCAGCGCTTATTGATTGGAGCTACTCGTGCCACTCGGCGCTCCGGGTCAAGTCGGTGCAACATGAGCTGCAGGTGGCGGACCAGGTTGGTTGGCGCATTTTCAGCGTTGTTGCCTTCGACAACTTGAAACATCTACCGCCGTCGAGTCACATCCCAGGTGAATAAGAGCTGTTCACAATGCGGCACCAAGTTTCTTTCCACTCCATTGCTTCAGACCAACCTCAGTCAGGCCCAAATCGAGCTCATCAGCAAAGGTGAGCATGTTCACCCAATCGTTGTTCATTAAGCATCGATCCAGATATCCGGTTCTAAACACGACAAGTACAAAGGTAAGGCACATAGCTTCGTGCTGAGCGTGAACAACCAGAGGCAATTCGTTTGCCGGCGTGGTGGCTTACGGAGTAGGCTGTTGCAGGAGCTTGGCGATCTTCACGGTCACGCTCCAAGCGTCGCGCACAGTCACTTCAGGCAAGCCTGCACGTCGTTCCAGGGAGCGTAGGGCATGCTGAAGCGTGGCCACCAGCTCAGCGGCGTGCTCGAGATCTAATCCAATTTCTTGATTCGCGCCTTGATCCGCTTCCTGCAGGCGCGCATGTCGAGCTGCTTTGGCAAATTGCACAGTCACGTGCGTGTGCACGAATCTGAATAAAAGGAAAAGATGTGATCACACCTCGTGAATGATTTGGCACGAGGGGCAAAACAGACCCACTTGCGCCATCGCAAGCGGTCGTACTTGGGTTGTGTTGGCATGGATGAATTGCGATCCAACAGGTCCACCACGTCCAGGGCCAGCTTGAGCACATTACACGCCGGCTGTTCAGACGCAGGGTAGCACAACAATGATCACCGGTGTCAGCGAATCACCTCATGCTAGAAAAAAAAACAAAAAAAAAAAAAACCTTGATGTGCAAACTTGAACCAAACATAGTGCAGAAACTCACCCCTTCATTACACATGAGAAGGAAGAAAATACACCCGCTGCATTGGTGCGCACACAAAAAGTGCATCAGTCGGATGAGACGTATTCACTTCTTTGACTTGGCGCTTGCGAGGCAGGCGCACAAACCTCGAGACGTGACGAGAAGGAGAGCTGTTCTGGCGTGCGGTGATGGCAATCTCAAAAATGCGTTCCAAATGTGCGTTGTCAGAGATCCACTGAGACAATGTCAAGTTGGCATCGCGACACAGGCGGTAGGCCTGCAAAGGCCGCCCATGCTCCAAATAGTAGAACGCATCGATGCTGTCCTGCGCGCCAAACCTACAAAGACGTTGTCACAAGAAGCATGAGACGTTGATCGGATGACCCACCGTCCAGACCAGCGTGACAGGGGATCTGAGAATGTTGGCAAGACTCACGCTTTAGAGAGCGGTCCGGTGCAAGAGGGTAGTCGCGCATAGTGCGCAAGGTCGGCTTCTCCGGTTGTGGACGGAACACGGCTGCCACTGGTGTCACGGTGACTGGTCTCCACTTGCCAGGCCAAAAGGCGCTCCACGTCCAACTTTGTGGCTGAGCGCAGCAGCTGCCACCGCTCTTGCTCATCCATCCGTGGTACAGCCTGGTCCACTTCTATCTTGAAACGCTCAAAGACGTGGTTCGCTATAAATCACAATGTGGGTCCAATACAAGTGGTGAGGCACGGTGAAATCATCCAGATTTATGTGGCAGGCCAGTTGTATTGTCGACTCACGGTTTTCCATGACCACAGGTTCATGCTTGAGGTAGCGCCGAAGGTTGAGGAGCCACGACGATGGCTCTTTTTGTCGGCTGTTAGCCAAACAAAACACATGCCATCGGCATCAGATCGAACCAGTACTTAGGCAGTGCAAATGGTTCGACAAAAGTTGCTTGCATGAGCATGTTTCAAAGACAATGCACGCACCCAACTTCAAACTCAACTTGCTCCAGTAAGCCCAGATCTCCGCGATCTTGCAGTTCTGGGTAGACGGTGCTCAGGGCGGTGCGCGCTGATACAGGACTTAGCCGCTGGTACAAGCTCTAGCCACAGGTCCGTGCCGCAACAGACAAGCTTGAGTGCGCAAAAGGAATCGATGAAGAGGTGAATGGCTCCTGCGACAGCGCAATTCAAACACGCACCCATAGTCGATTGTCGCGGCACAGCTGATGCAAAAAAGTGTGTTGCTCATCCGTGAGGTTGCGCGTATTGCTGTGTTTAGAACCCAGAGCAGCCAATGAGGAAACAGGATGGGTGTCAGTTCCGCTGATGCAGAACCAAAACGAACGGAGCAAACATACGCGCGGTCAAGCAGCACGGAGGCTCGGGCCAATCGCCGCAGCTGCCAACGAATGCCAAGGTCTACATCTTGGACTACCGTGGTGGCAGGTTGGACAAGACCAATTCGATACATAATCTTCTCTAGCTCGTAAGCTGCGGAGGGAGAGAGCACGGGTGGACAGGAGAAAGAAATTGAGCGCGTGGAAGGCTCCAAGGCCCCAAGCAGCAGACTTGGATGCATGGAAGGTTGGGAGGAGAACATGGTGGGGGCCTGGGAGCGTGGTGCATCTCAATATAGGTAGCCCTCACCGAGCAAGACATTAGCTGGTCTGAGATTGAGCTGTTGAGCAAAGGCCAGGCGCTCGGGCTGAGAGAGATCTTGGACAAGGGTCACCAAAAGTCGCTCGAGCCAAGCTAGCCAGTCGGTGCGCTGCAACTGGCACGCCATGTTAACCAATTCAAGCACAACATCCCGGATGGTGTCGCCCCCCAGCTCTGCAGCCCAGCGCTCCACATCGCGCAAAGAAGCATCGAGCAGTTCATTCTCTTCAACAAGAAGCAAAAGCCGCGTGGCAGTGCTCATGGCGCACAGCTGTGCAACGGTCCACTGTGCGTAACCTTTGCCGGCAACAGCTCGGTTTTTGGCTGGTGCGGCCGTCGTGGGAGTGGCGTTGGCCCATCGCTGCCGGCGAAGTTGAAGCAGACGCGGGAGCCAGTTGCCATCTGCATCAATGTCCAGTAGCGACTGGACGGGCGGAAGGGTTCCCGCTGTCTGTTTATCACGGGGCACCAGCTCCGAGAGGGCCCTGGCAATGGTACCCGGCAGAGCAGGGCGCGACAATTTGAGTTTGCGCTTCTTGGCTGCCACCTCAATGTCTTGAGTTCCGTAGCGTTGCCAAAAACGCTCGGCCAAAGTGGAAAGTCGTTCCTAAGGTGTTATTTCATTTTCTTATGAGCGTGTTGCTTTGCACAATCCTTGGAGCGATGTGACTGTGATGAACACACACCTCGGCGGGGGTGCAAGCCCCAGCACTTTTCAAGCGTTCAAAACACCGCATCGCCACTTGCGGGTAGCACGTATGCATAAATACGGCCCGATAAAAGTCGTGTGCATCCTGCACATGAGCCCCTCGACACAGCGTGAGAAAGCATCCGGGCCTGAGTGGGTCGGTACCGAGCTCGAAACACTGAACACGCAGCACCCACCAAAAGAGCAGCCTGGCACACCGCCACACATGTATCAAAATCATCGGAAATGATGGCGTGGTATGCCAAAGCTTGCGCGGCGGCTGTCATGTCGTCTTGCATGACAGGGAGGGTCACGTCGTGAGCTGAATTTAGCATGGGAACGGCCAAATCCTTCCTGAGCTCTTCGAGTCCCGCATCCATGGGCTCATGCTCTCCGAGGGGCTCTTGCAACGTAACACGCTGCAGGTCGCAGACAAAAACCATGTACAAGTATGCTTGCTGCACCAGGTTGTCATTGACGGCTTGCAAGACAATATCAGCTGCCGGCTGGCAGGAGCATTGATGCCATGCACGGGAGAGAATAAGCTGAAGATTGTGGCATCAAGTCGTGGATGAAGCAGGGATAGGTTTGGGGTCATACCTGGCCTTTCCAGCGCTCAAAGTGGGAACGCATGCTGGGGGGAATAGCGGCGAGTTGACGAAGCACATCGCGAGTCGCCTGCGAGGCAGGGAAGAAGTAAACAGAAAAAAAAAATGACATGGAAACCCAGGCCAGGGCAACGGAAGGGTGCACAAAAACAAAAACGAAAACAAAAAAAAAAATAAAAAATGAATAAATAAAAAGACATGACCCGGGCCATACGAGCGATACTCACTCTTTCCATGCCAGACAGTTTCACTGGTTTCACATCCTGGTGAAAAGCCCCAAGCAAGGATCTTTGTTACAATGCGAGTGGAAAGTTTGGAGAAGCGACGTGCGGTCAGCAACAACAACGCACCGGTTCAAGGACTTTGCGCTCCTCAAATTGCAAGAGAGCATGCAAATGACGTGTAACGGCTTGCAAATGCTGGACGTTCTTCGGCGATGGCTCCTGGTTTTGCCCGTCCTGGTGTGATGACTCGGTCAGCATGGGGTTGAAGGGGCAGCGGGTTGAGGTCAGGTCGGATCATCAATCTCGTACCTTGATCTGTTGCATTAGAAAGCGGCGCACCACTTGCAACAGTTGTTCTCGAAAGCCCCAGTTATACGAGACTTGAGTGTAAAGGTAAGTCATGTTACGTTCGATCGCTTCCATGGCGGCATCCAGTTGCTCCTATGACGGATAATGTTTGAATTTTTTGAATACTCAAGCATAGAAACAGCTCACCACGATAGGGCTTATGAAAAGTCCAAGGGTCAGAGCAACTCACGTGAGGGGCTCGATTCAGGGTTGCACTGACAACGTCCGGCTGCTGAAACCGCAGGGCGGTCTCAAGCTCATGTAAAAGCAGTGTGTGTTGATCCTGCGCGAACAAGTGATGATTCAGTGATGCACGGCAACATCGACAATAGTAGCAGTGATGCAAGCCACGCTCGAGATCTCAGCTTGGCTTGTCATGTCCATTGTATTATGCCAATGGAGAGGGCTGAAGGGTTGAAGCAAAGAAGGGCAGCAGGCAAAGTGCGACTAGACGTACCCAATCATTGATGGAAGAGAGTAAATTTGCGACACGAGTCTCGTCCAGAATGTACAACTGATCCAGCAGTTCTCGATGGGAGCTGGCGCGAGCAAGGGTGTTGATACCACCACGGCGCAACAGAAGCAAGGGCTGGAATGGTAGGCAAAACTCTTGTTAGCTGGAAGTGGGCACATGTGGTCAAGGGCGTGTGCATCCTGAGAGGCAGCTCACCTGGAGGCTGATACAGATACACGGCGTGCTGGTCGGGATCAAGGTGGATGCCTGAGAAGCAGCCAAACCACCGACAAGGACGCCGACGCAGGCGGGAGCATTGTTGGCCAATGGCTCCAAGCTGCCCAGCACAGCCATGAATTCGAGCTGGGCAACGTGAATGGTCAAAACGCAGCTCTCGGCCGGAAGCTCGGAGCGCACGCTGAGCGTGCGGTCGTCAGATGGGGAAGATTCAGAGGGTCGCGTGCGTTTGAGACGCGTGGGATGTCTGCAACCGCCCCAGGCAAGCGAGATGTGAGCCGTAAAACGGGCATGGTTTTGATTGTTTAGGCCTGCGCCGCCACGCGATGCTTAGTGTCGGGGTGTTGTCAGAAGTGAGACATGACAGTAGGCTACCTGGTGGCGGCTACGCGTTGCAGAGGCGCGGAGAGGGATACCCGGAGCCAAGCTGTTGGGACGCCATCGGAGGAGTCTATGGCCGAGTTGCCTGAGGTCGAATGTCCGGCATTATCAATGGTGTGGGAGGCAAAGGATTGTCGAAGTTGTTGACGCAGTCCGGCCAGACGAACTGTCTGGGAGCCTTGATCAGCGCCCATGCGCACATGTTCCGGATTGCGCTTAAAGTACTGAGGGTAAACATGGATGCGGTGAGTGGCCCAAGACCGATTGCGAGATGTAGAGGTGAACTTGAGAGCAAGGCAAGCATCACCAACCGTGCCCAAATTGATGCAAATGAGGTGGTGTGCGGTGCCCAAAACCATTTGCGACCAGTCATCACTGGCGGCCAGCGCGGTGATGACCAGATCTAATATAACATAAACACGGCGTGTCAGGCATATTCAAGCACTGGTTCGGGTTTGCCAAGCATGCACAGGACCAACCATTGCCGTCGTCGGCCACAAGTTGGAGGTCGATAAAACCAACAAGCCACCCATGTTTGACGTGGGCAACCAAGATGTAATTGCTTTTGAGGAGCAGTCCAATATGGTCATGGCTCGAGCAGGCAAGGACGATATCTGTTTGAGGAGCAGGTCGCACACTTTTCGTGAGGAAGCGTGATTGAGTCAACTTTGCAAGGAGAGCAAAGACTTGATCATTAAGAGCTTTATCAAGAGGGCGGTTGGCATACCATCATGACTTAAAGGAGCCGATGCCCAAGCATCGAGTTCCTCCAAAGGTAGCAAGCAGACGGAAAGGAGCACGACGTGCGTGGGCTGTCATGTCCAAGTTAGCAAAAAAGGTGCGTGAGAATTCAGATGGTTTGACGCGGGACACGGGGATTGGGGATTTGATGGGCGAGGGCTTGTCCACCTTGATCTCCAGGGCAAAAACATAACGCTGGTTGACAAGTACGAGGCAAGTCTCAGCCTTGCTGCTGAGAAGCGAGATGCTCGATACATTGACGTCTACGAAGAGAGACCGCGAGAGGGCAAGCAATATTGTTTGCAGCAGGGAGACACGGTGAAAAGTGCGCATGTACTGTTGACCACAACGTGAGGTAGATCAGACGGATTGCACGTACCAGGAAAGCCGTGGTTTTCCAACAATTGCCGAGTTCGCTGAAGCGGGAGTTCGGATTGGCGCATGATCATGGGAACAGTTGTATTGATTTCCACGGGGCGCATGAGAGAAACGACGTCATCACCAAAGAGCTCGACTTGCGGGGTCACGGGTGACTCTGGATGGCCGGGAGTGGGGGAGCGTTCGTTAGGTAGTTTGGTCAAAGGAGGGGCGACCGTCACAAAGTTGATGGTAAGATCTTGTTCGACTGCGACGAGTGTGGCCGGTTCCGTCACCGAGCTGGTGAGTCCTTGTAGGATGCACCAGCTGCATGGCACGTCAGAGCATGGAGGATGATGTGAGGACAGCAGGGCAAAGCAGAAAGGTCTACAACTTCCACTTGTCACACTTGGAGTGCTGTCAACGGACCTTTGCACATCATAGAGGCGACCAGCCGTCAGCTTGCGGGGCTGCTGGTGTTGCCACTGCCAGATCGAGACGGTTCGCCGGGCATTCTCTGCGGCCAGGGCAAGCTTGTGCGGAAAAGCCTGCACTCGAGAGCAAGCCTCCAGCTCACCCACGGCCTCAAATTGATGGACCGTGAGATCCATGTTGGGTGGTCCGATCCCAAAGCCCGGGTTGTGGCCCTGGAAGATGTCGTCAAAAGCCCACGAGACTGGAGGAGGCACGCATCAGCTCCTGCGTCGAAAGAAGAGAGCAATGCCAGCACGCAATCAGACATCACATATCAAAATGCATCACTCTCTGATCCCTCGAAGCATCCAAGAGGCAGCACTATCATACCGGAGGCAGCACGGCGTGCGGTTGCCGTCGGCGACCAAATGCATGCAGTGTCGTTCAACAGCTCCAGCTGAAAAAAAAAAAATTAATAAAACTCGAGGGATGTTTGAAAAAGATTAATAAAACCCGAGGATGTTTCACATTGAAAAAGTTTACATCCGGATGTGTAAAAAAAATCAGAAAGTAAAAGCTCTCTCAACAGTGACCACCGTCTTAAAGTGTAGCTTTCGACACAGATTAAGGAACGACAATTTGTTCGCAACACCTGTTGTGAACGAGCGAGCGCGGCGGAGAGCGAAAGCGCGAGGAGAGAGGGCAGCGCCTCGTCTTCTGCTCTGGCACCGTAGTGGTCTCCCGTGCGGGCTCGTTTGCCAGTCTTGAGTGTGACGGTGATTGCACGTCAGAGAACAGGGTCATTATGGCAGAAGCTGCTGTGGAAACGTCGGCGGCGCCGGTACGTCGGAACGGCGTAGATCTTCCTCTGCCCCTTGTCTAGCTTTGCGCTCCTTTCTTTGCGCCAGCTCGCCATGGCCGTGTCATGCGAGCCGTCGTGTGTCAGGCCGGCAATTCAGTTGTGTGCTTGGCTGTGGGGAATGGGTTGTAGGCGGCCACTTCATCCGTGGGTATCATCAATCCACCGCCGGAGATTCGAAGTAAGTTTTGAAGGTTTCACTTTTGGGCTTGTGATGCTCTTGTTCCGTGATCGGGCGCCTCATCATCGATCGTGGCCCATGATAGACATTGTGAACAAAACCGCTGGTTTCGTTGCCAAGAATGGTTCGTTTCATGTCTTGCTCGTTGCTGCCTTCCAGCCCCTTGTGCTGGCCTTGGTACGCACGTTGGTCCATTCACCACCCTTCCCATCCATAGGCTGGGACTTTGCGGACCGCATCCGCAAGGAGAAGGCCGGCGAGGTCAAGTTCAACTTTCTGCAGCCGGACAACCCTTATCATGCCTACTTTGTGCACATGGTTGAAGAAGTTCGCTCAGGCCGCAACAACGGTTCGTCCGCTGCAAATCGTGTCAATCATCTACTGACTTCTTTTCATGATGGTTTGGAATCTCTGCCACTCCCCTGTGCTGTGGTGCTCACCAATTTTTTTTCCCAGAACTCGGCAACATCAACCTTGATCAGGTCACTCTGGATGATGAGGTGAGTCTTTCCCTTTTGGCATAGCTACTCTTAACAACTTGTCTCGATCCTTGACTCTTGCTTCATGCCATGCTACCAACCCGATAGATGGAGGAGGATGCCAAAACCGTCAAGCCCCCGCCCGAGGCCGAATTCATGGACGACCCTCCAACCCTTTCAGCTCAGGACTTGGATGTGATCAAGCTGACAGCACAATACGTGGCACGAAACGGCACTGAATTTCTTCAAACCTTGATGCAGGTTCGAGCCTGATTTGCATTGACCCGTTAATTCCGATCCTATTTGTTTTCCAATCTCTGACATGCCATCCCACGTAGAAGGAAGCCCGCAACTTTCAGTTTGATTTCCTCAAGCCCACGCATCTCCTCTTCAACTACTTTACTAAATTGACGGAACAGTACCGCAAGATCCTTTTGCCCCGTGATGACATGCTCGAGAAGCTGCGCCGCGTGGCCAAGGACCCACTCTCGGTATGTGCATGCGGTCAAGGGCACCCAATCTGCATTGGGCCGACTCTGCTACCGCCGCCCGCAGCTCAATTTGTCGATGCAGCTTGTGCCAGAGGTGGAGCAGATGTCGCTGTACAAAAAGCAAACGGCCGAGGATCGCCAGCGACGGGCCGAAGAGCAGGAGCGCGAGAAACGTGGGTTTCCTCCTGCTCCCTTGACCCTGGATACTCCTCAACCGCACACCTCACAATCCTCTGTCTCACATGGTGCGCGCTATAGGCGAGTTCAACAGCATCGACTGGCACGATTTTGTGGTCGTGGCCACGATTGAATTTGGCCCCGACGACAAGGGTTGGTTTGGGTTTGCTTTGCTTAACTTTTGCTCGTAAGCTTATGTCCTCACTGACGCTCACTTGGTGGTCTTAGATTTGCCACCCCCCGTGACGGCGGAAAGCTTGGGCATCCGCATGGTTCAATTGGACCAGCTGGCACGCGAGGGCTACTCGTCACGCACTCGCCCCACAGAAGCTGAGGAGGCCCCCGCCAAGGACGAGGCAGCGCAGGAGGATAGTGATGTTGAGGTAACACAGCCTTTTGTTTTTGTTTGTGTTTCCCCTTGCATCTTTTGCTGGGCTCCTCTGGCATACCGCACCCAACACCAACCGGCCGTTGCGCGTGGTTTGCAGATGGAGGTCGACGATGACATGGACATGGATGATGATACAACTCCCGCCACAGTGCCGGGGGGGCCAATCGTGGCATCGGCCAACAAGCCTGGGACAATGCCTGCTCAAATGGCCACCTCCGAAGAGCCCGTCAAGATTCGGTGCGTGCAGAGATAGGACCGTGCATTTGGAGCAGACATGAAATCAGGACTCATGCAATGTGCAATGTGCGATTGGGTGGACAGCGAATACGATCCAAAGGCCAAGAAACCCGTCCAGAAAAGAAACGCTGCCGGCGAGCTGCTGCTGGAGTCACCTATCACGGGTACGTACACTCAGGATCGCGATCCAAGCCGGCTGCGCATGGGGGGCGATGGACGTTGATCTGGATCTGATGTTATGGTATACTCGCTTCTTGTCTTCAACAGGCGAGCTGATCCCCGAGTCACAGATGGCCGAGCACATGCGCGTCAACCTGCTTGATCCCAAATGGCGGGAAGACAAGGCGCGGTAAGCATTCCCCAACACGCTCTGTTTTGTTTTGTTCTGTTCTGTTTTGTTTCTTCTTTCGGTTTTGTTGTCTTCTTTTGCTTCCGATTGCCATCCTGGCCATAGCAGCTCCCGCGGCCCCCTGACACTGGGTTGAGAGGCCTTAATCTTACCACGCACCTCATGACTATGCTCACCATTTTATTGCGCCATCCTTGCCGTAGCCAAGAGGAAGAGGCTCGCAAGCGCCAGGAGATGCACCAACTGCAAGGTTCGGGGACCATGCAACACCTCAAGGGGATTGCAGCCAAACGTACGGATATCTTCGGTGCTGGTGATGTTGAGACCGAGATTGGTCGCCAGGTATGTCTCTTTTTTATCCAACAAAACGCATCAAAGAAGCAAGAAGGGAAGGAAGCAAACCCTGGCTCGACACCCATGGCACATCTCATCGATCGACTGGCCACAACACTTTTGCAGGTCGGTGCCGAGCGCGAGCGTCCGGATCCAAACCACCCCACCTGGGATGGCACACCCGTGCTCAAGGGCAAGGACGAGGTTGCTCGCTCACAGGCGCGTGCCCTGGCTGAGCAATCCAAGGCGGCTGCCGCTGCAACGTATGTACAGACCTTGCTGGTTGATCTACCATGCTTGTCGTTTGACGCTCGGACCGGTTATGTGCGATCGGCATGACTGTCTATTCACATTTGTCTCTTCCTCTTTCTCTCTCTGATTCTGCTTGATGGCTGCAGTTCGGGCACTGGGGAAACTCAGCCCCTGAACATTCCTCCAAACATGCAGCCCACCAACTACCCACCCAACATGCAGCCTCCGAGCCAGCCCGCACCCACCCCCATGGCTGCACCGCCACTTGCCCGCCCGCCTCCTTTGCCGTCGTCCACGGCCCCCGCAATGGCCGTGCCACCCCCAACATCTGCACCGGCCCCCGCCCCTCGTCCGGCCTATCCACCGCCACCTACCTCTTCGACAGCACCCCCCAACCTCGTTGGAGGTCCGTCTGAGGCCTGCACGGGATTGCATTCTCGGTAGCACTCATGTCTTTGCGACGACATTTTTCACACGCCTGGTTTGTCGTTTTGCATGTTAGGTCTGAATCTGCCACCCGCCACAGGAGGCGCTCCACGCGGGTGAGTGGGACTTGTCCCGATTGAGGAATCTTGATTCTGCATCTGACTGCTCTCACGCGGCACACACTGAACATACAGGATGTATCCCCCTCCTTCTTCGGGTGCTGGCACAGCTGCGGCGCCCGCACCTGCGCCCGCGCCCGGACCAACGCCTACGCCAACTCCAGCGGCGCCTGCTCCAGCTGCGCCTGTGACGGAGGAGCCTCAGCCAGCGGCCGAGGTAACCTCCGAGCCGCCTGCCAAGAAAACAAAGGCTGATACAGTTCTTTCGACCTTGGTACCAGAGGAAGAGTTTTTGCAGACACATTCAGGAAACGTTACCGTCACGGTCCAAGCCGATGATGAGGCAGCCGAAGGACGTTCCTTTTCGGTCACCCTGCCGTATACGGCTACGGTAAGTACTTCGTGCTGCATCGGCCAGGCGGCTTTGATCTTTTACATCTTGTCCTCGACGAGTTTTCTCATATGCTGGATTGCCCGTATTCCTGCGGCTGCTTTAGGTCGGCGATCTGAAGAGCGAGCTTCAGACCATGTCTGGCTTGGCCAAGAACAAGCAGAAGCTCACCCTCATGGGTATGGCATTTGGTAATAGCAACACCCTGGCTTTCTATAATCTCGAGTCGGATAGTCCTGTTCAGCTGACCCTGAAGACGCGCGGTGGTCGCAAGTAAGCAAGTGGAGGAAAGTTGCGCTGTACAAGTTCTAGCACAACTTCAAGAATTGATTTTTCTTGCGTTATAATTCAAAATGTCGCGTTGTGGTTTACTTTGTCAAAGTGGTCGAAAGTTTCCAGACTCGGAAGAGAGTGCCAAGTCAATTTCATCGCTGATGCAACACTGCTGCTTAAAAAAAGAAGAGAAAGAAAAGAACAAATCAAAAGGACAAAGAAACAGTCGACATTGGGGAGCCCTAGGCGTGCTCAACACAAAAAACGGACAGACGAGCGTCGACGCATCGGTGGGTGTGGAAACTATGAGACACCCAGTACTCTCCGAAACATTACCGCCGTGCCGACTTTGGGGTTGCCTTGGCAGAGCCAGTACGTTTGGCAGATTTTGGAGTTGTCGGCTTGCTGGCAGCCTTGGGAGTAGCGGGCTTGCTGGCAGCTTTGAGGGTGGCGGGCTTGCTGGCAGCTTTGGGAGTAGCGGGCTTGCTGGCGGCCTTGGGGGTGGCGGCCTTGCTGGCGGCCTTGGGAGTAGCGGGCTTGCTGGCGGCCTTGGGGGTGGCGGGCTTGCTGGCGGCCTTGGGAGTAGCGGGCTTGCTGGCGGCCTTGGGGGTGGCGGGCTTGCTGGCGGCCTTGGGGGTGGCGGCCTTGCTGGCGGCCTTGGGAGTAGCGGGCTTGCTGGCGGCCTTGGGGGTGGCGGGCTTGCTGGCGGCCTTGGGAGTAGCGGGCTTGCTGGCGGCCTTGGGGGTGGCGGGCTTGCTGGCGGCCTTGGGGGTGGCGGGCTTGCTGGCGGCCTTGGGGGTGGCGGGCTTGCTGGCGGCCTTGGGGGTGGCGGGCTTGCTGGCGGCCTTGGGGGTGGCGGCAGGCGAGGCCTTGGCCTTTTTGGCTGGTGTGGCGGCATCGGCGGGCTCCTTCTTGGCATCACCATTGGTGGCCTTGGCTTGTCGCTTGGCTGGTACCTTCTTGACTGGTGCCTTCTTGGCTGGCGCCTTCTTTTTGTTCTGCGGTGCCTCTGTCTCCTCCATATCCTCCTCCATGGGTTGGTACTCGGTGACGGCTTCCTGAAGCATGTCTTGGACAGTGACGGTAGACTTGGCGCCAGTCTTAACGGACGTGCCAAGCTTGAGGGTCGACTCGGCAGCATCCAGCTCATCAGCAGTGGCATGCCACACGGGAAGAGCAATGGTGTTATCTGCTTGAATCAAGACAGCCTGCAGAAGCTTTTCCTTGTGGGGAAGGACGTCAATGATGTGAGGCATGGCCACGAGGACGTTCTCACCGAGCTGCTTCCAGGTCATGGCACTATTGCCAATGCGCAGAGAGCTGTCGCAAAACACATTGTGAGTCGAGCGTGAGTTCATGCAAGAGACGGGCGCAAAGGATGGTCTGTGCAACGAACCAGCTGGAGCCACTGAGGTGAAAGTATGAGGCCTCGAGGGCACGACGAATGGCGGGAGTGAACTTGCGGTTTTTGAGCTTGACGCCAACAGGTGATCTAAGATTCAAACGAGGTGAGGCAAGAACCGGGGGCCGGGGGAACAGCATCATGGCGCCATTAAGGCCAATACTGTAACTGAAACGGAAAAGCATACTTTTTCTTGCTGGTGAACTTGGTGCCCAGGAGACGGGACATGGAAGGCAGCACACTGCACATGTTCGGGAGAGCATGATGAGGAAGCACGTCGAGTGATGATGATGCACGACGAGGACCAAGCAAGGGGTGGGCATACCGCTCATCGGCCATGAAGAAATCAAAAGAGTTGAGCAACTGGCGGCGCGCTTCATGTGTTTTGAACTCCTTCTCAAGTCGGCTGTAGCCAATGACCTGTTGCAAACCAATCAACTTTGAGCTGTCTGAAAGGCGCTGATGGTCAGCTCCTCTTGTGTTTGGACAAGCGACGCTCGCAGGGAGAGAAGGGCAAGCCCCAACAGTCCCCTCTCCCCCCTCGCAAAATAAAAAAAAAAATAGACGAAAGCATCTGCCACCCCGAATCCCTAACGAGGACCGACCGTCAAATTCTTGTGGCCTTCTTGAGCCGCAATTGTGGCAAAGTACTCTTCGGGGTCTTTGACAATGAGGCACAGGCGAGCGCCATCGTGGTCATACAAAAAGTGCTTCAATGGGCTGAGGGAAGGGAAACAGAAACAA